TAAAAAATATTTAACACTCCTTCATAAACTTTTCCCCCAAACTATGAAAAAGCCCATCAGCAGTCATCGCCCAAAGCCTCAGGGTATAGAACGTCAACTCCAGAATCAAAAGCGTAATATGACGGACAAACAATTTACCAGAGGAATGGGTACTGCTCAAAGAACGCAAAGAGATATCCCGCACAGTGTAACGGAGCACCCATGAACTACGTCTTGAGGAGACAACCATTCTCAGATTCTTAGGCATAGATCCGGACAATCTGTTAAACCGCTGGATCTGTTCAAGACTTTCGCTGTGATATGGAGAGATAACCAGATCTCATAGTACGATAAATCTTTAGTCAATCTTAGCTCCATGAAAAAACTATCATAAGCAGAAAAGTGGCGCTAGCATTGACAAATTCTCTATTCGATTGCGATTTAAGGTAAAGAACCTACTGTTCAGACTCGGAAGACAATATGTTTTCGTAAAGTTCATAAAATGGGTCTAGGCAGTTATTTAACAGGTCGCGTGAATAATTTGAACACCTTGCAGAATAGAAACAAATGAAAAATCCGGAACGGTGCTAACAAGGAACAGGACGGAATACCGATGTCATCCCATAAATATACTTGCCGAAGTCTCCCCGACGTGATGGTTTTATAAAGATAGCCTTCATAAAACATCAAGCATTTAGAGTGGAGAGGCTCCGATAGTGCCCACAACACAAGAAATGTGCCGAAATGTACGAAACACTGCTAGTCACTCGCAAACTGGCACAAACAAATAGACCAAAATACCGAACTAATAATGGACTACTTTAAGCAAATCCAAGACATAAAATAAACACTTAAACTAATATTATGTTCTTTGAAAATAACAATTATTTGAAATAACGGAAACGATGAAAGCGCGTGAACCAGTGCGACTGAGCGAACGTAAGTTTTTGGGTAGAGATAGGTTTGATATGCATGACTAGCAATTACACTTGCCTTAATACAGGAATGTACTTGTGTTCGAGTACATACGCCGCGACTTATTTACCATTTCGAAAATACTAACTTAACCGTTTATGTCATGTCTGTACTCACCACACAACGCGTGCTGTAAGGGCCATCTTGGTTTATTTTGTCTGGGTTAGAACACAAACGCTCGACTTCTGCTAATCTCCAAACAGTTCCTATCATCGAACGTGCACGCCGTGATTTATGTGCTTCTTAAAAATACTTTTGCGTAGTCCTTCGCATAACCAATAATAAGACCGTTAGATTGAGTTGTGTTTATAGACAAAAATTACTTACAAGTGGCCGTTAAGTTGCCTTCAGGAACGAGTCCTTCAAGTCCTTTATTTTGGAAGCTGCTGCATCGGATAAGCTTTCACAATACGCGACAAGAATATTTCCCATGCTTGCGTTAGGCCAACACTGTCTTAGCCAAACCACAGACAATGATGAACCTCGTCTATGTGAACTGATATTGCACGACCTGATATCGGTCCTCCTTCGTGGAGCTACCGTTTCAGTCTTATCCAATAGACATCAATCGCATTGGTGTGTTTTCCTGTGGTCAGATCCCTAAAATGTTTGGTCTGATTGACAGTGTGACTGACTGAATGCCGGTGTATTTGGAGACCAGATTGGAATTTTGCCGCAATAGGTAGCAGTTCCCTGGTTCGGCAGTTTCCCACCACCTCCTCCGAGCTTATGGCTTCGGTTATTTCCCACGCTCTCCTCGAAAAATCAAACTGCGGTTTTTCGACTTTTCTTCGACCTAGAGCCGGTGGTCAGTACTTTGGAAGGAAAAAATAAGCATTATTGTCTGCTTTGTTTATTGACGCATCTCCTAATTCTGCATAGAATTTACATATGTTCTTTTATTTACTTTTCTTTTTATACTATATTTATAAGTTGCCGTATTGTACAGATACAAACTGGCGTTCAAAGTTACGCTATTTGAATGTGGTTCTTCTTTATTAGGGTGCATTTTCATAGCTCCTTTAGCATTGAAGTGCATCAAATTACCTTGCATAAAATTTTCAAATTTTCACCATTCGGCACTTGCTATTGTTCTTTCCTATTGGTTGTTCGTTATATGATACCTGACCTGCTTTAAATTTGCAAGTGGCTGTTTACTCAAATATGTTCTATTTATTGGGAGTTAGTTTTGGTTATCTTTCAAGTAACGCGCTCAATTTCGCTGTTGTGTATGAACGTAGAAGAAGAACTTCAACGAAAATCCCTTTGTTTTCTATTTTCTATTGCATTCATTTCGTTCCCTCCCCCCCGAGGTAATGCTCCACCTATAAAGCCCCTATTACCACCATTCCCGTATTGCACGTGCCTAGGATTACTGGTTTCGAGGTGGGGTTACACAACCTATCTTTGTCAGTTTTTGGCGTACAGATGGGTTATACATGCAAAACCCGTGCAAATGAAACAAAACAGGCAGAATAGTGCTTGGAGATATTCTGTTGGAAAAGCTTGCACTTAAATAACCTGCCGAAATAAGTGTAGAGTCAAGAATGGCGGTTGGTCAAAAGCATGAATTTTTAGTATGCATTTCAAGACGATTTCACGAGAATACCCCTCAATCCTCCCGCGTTTGCATTGCTCGAATAGGGATTGACCCAGACAAACAGGAATTAGCTTGACTTCGCCGATGTGGATGTCACAACATTGGAAGTGTTCAGAAGGGCACAGGTTGACAGGCCGTCGGTGAATAGTAAATGTGAATAGAATTGGCAGGTGCAATTGTAAACATAGCCCCAAGAGGATGTGTCTTCGGGAAAAATTATTTGCAGTTTATTCTGATGCTGAACTACGTCGAGTTTCAGATCGTCTTTAAAATATCGGTGAGTATTTCACGATTTTCAGTGTTTTTTTATTGGATTTATCATAAAAGTGTACTTTGTGCTTTATGATTACCGAGTCCTTCGAAACTATCGATTTATAATGCGTTTTCTGTCGTTGGATATCATGCACGGATGCGCAAACTTAACCTAGGACAGTTATTTGCATACACAACGGCACGAATACCAAGTGTCATAGGCTTTTGCTATTATTTGTAAACATTTTGGTTGATAAAGGCAGTTGTGAATATGTTCTGCATATCAAAAGGATGTCTTCTGGAACGGGGTAGACGAATGAATAACGTGTACAACGTATGAGATGTCTAAATTTGGTCGCTTTAACATTCGTCATCATATTTTTGAGTCAGGCTTCGTGTTGTATATTTAGGATGCTATATTTCTTCTATTTTGAATGACGCCTATTCCATACCTGGTTAAATCACAAGGCAATTATATCTTTCCTTTCCTACATTAACAGCGAATACTTTTGCTCCTCTTATGCCATCGAGCTTGACTTCTGACGTCAGATAATTTCGAAATAGCCAGTATCGTCTTTCTCGTATTTTGGCATGCATTCCACTTTACTGATTTCTTATCGGTACTTGGCCACCCGTGAGCGCTCTACGTTGAATCTCCAAGGAGACACTGAGAGTTACTCCTCAATTTGCTTGGTTGGATGAAACGTTCCTCCAAATTGGACCCACGTATTTACAACCGCTGCCAATTTAAAGCGTGTTCGTGATCCAAATCGTTGAACGTTTGGCTTAAATGCCTGTTAGCCAAATTGGTTCACATTCAAATCTTAGGTCGTTCCGAACTGAGCTTGAGGTATGACACACTAGCGATGGCAGGTCTAGATCAGAAAGGACTGTTTCAGTATTTCTAGTCTTTTGTGATACTCCTTCAACTGTTACCATCATTTAGTATCTGTGGAGAATTGTATTTCATAAAAAGGTCAGAACTGTTTCAATAACCGTTGCTGGTGCGTATTTACCATGCACGGTTGTGGAATCAGTGCCCTATATCGTCACGTGCTTTATGTCAAAACTGCCAGAAGTTGAAACACTTACTACAGGCTATAGTTCACTCCTAAGTCAATTCAATTTTCTCAGCAGTAGCTGCATTTTACAACCCGCAAGCCTATTGCCGAGCAACCCTTAAAACCATCCTAAGTTTTTGGAAACAATATAAATATCCGTGAAACCTTGATTAGCAATAGGAATTAGGGCACGACAGTGGACGAGGTCCTTGGCAAAACCTGTCAGGATGTCTGCCAGTCAAATAGTCCCCCTTGTGCGTAGGTTTTACTGGTAGACATACAGATTACGATTTCAAAAATAAGTGATATCGGGGTTTTGTTTAAAAATGTGCCCCGGAATCTGAATGGCAATGGAGCCCATGTACTGAAGTGCTTTCACAAATGTGCATTATGGGCCGCTAGTGGAATCTACCTCGTATGTTAGGACCGTGTTTAGCAAAACGGGATAATGTAAGCTAGAAGACTGACGAGCTAGGTAATTCACTGTGTTAACTCGAATCTTGCCATAATATTTTGTTCTCATTTAGAATGAATAGTGTTTTATTCAGCTTCTAACTTTTTCTCATCACCTTTCGTCCTAAATAAACGGGGGATATCAAGTCATTTGAAATTATACCGTGACCCGTAGGTGCAAAAATCGCAGCTGAAACCAAAAACGAATTCAACAACCCTCGACACCTGTTTTCTATCCACATCACAGTCTGCTTAGGCGAGTCTGCTGGCTCTGGCAGACTGGAGTGTTCTTTATTCTTTAAACAATCCGAGGGACAACCGGCCGGAAATGGGGACGATGCTAGTCGAACGGAAGCTGGCGCGCCGTATCGCTGCTCTCAGTGAGGCCCACTTCTCCGAGCAAGGCCAACTTGGGGAGGGGGTACCGGCTATACCTTATTCGGGAATAGCCGCCCAAAAGTAGTGCAACGCATGCAGGAGCCGCCTTTGTCCTCTGTAACGAAATTGCGGGACAACAGCCTTGTTTATCGGAGGGAGTCGACGACCGCCTAATGAGTCCGGGCCTCTCTCTTCGTGTAGTCAAATTTTCCACAATCGTCATTTTCTACGCCTCCGAAATGACCAGCTCTGATGAGGAGGGAAACAACTTCTAGAACGACCTGCATACCCACTTGGCGACTATGCTAAAGGTGGGCAAACTGATCGCCCTTGATGGCTTCACCCCTGCGTCGAAACAACCACGCTGCCTGGAGGAGAATGCTGAACCCACGCGGAATAGGCAGTTGCAACGAAAACGACCTCTTTTTCCTTGGAACCAGCGCAGAGCACCGCCTCCTCCTGACCAACAGCTTGCGCCTGTCAACGCGGAGGAAGGCGAACTGAAAGCACCCCAGATTTCGGCGCCGGCAGCTGCTGGACTACGTCTTCGTCCGGAGACGAGATGGACAGGTAACTGGTGACTAAGGCTGTCTGCGACGCCGACGACTAGACGGATCACGACCTCGTCATCTCCACGATGAGGCCCCGACGGTAATCTTGCAGGAGACCACAGAGCAAGTGACCGCCACGTAAGTTAAATTCTGCACTGTTGAATACGTTTTCGCTCCGACTACATTTCAGCAGTCAATTAACTCCGCGCCTGGGTCCAACTGCCGACCCCGAACAACGACGTCATCGTGGAGATTTCGTGCGTCAAGTGCGAAATGCTATCCACTGAAATGCATTGGGCGTCTCTGGACGCGCAAATCGTCAACGGAAAAAACGGGCTGACAACAACGACGCAGACATCAGCATCGTGCTCGCTGAAAACACAGGCTACACAAAGCCTACATTCGCCGTCGGACCGACGCGTCCAATACGGCCTTCTTCAGATGTCGCCGCCCCGTGAAACATCAACTATTTAGTGGGAAGTCGCCAGACTCCGACGCGAACCTAGCTGATGTTTACAAGCATGGCAGTCCTTGGCTGATAGGCAAACTTGCATCGATGTTCCAGGAAAATTGATGTCCGGGACAGTTTCTACAGAATTTCTAGAACGCGACAATCTACAGGCAGAACGAGAACCGACAACTTTTTGATAACCACAGAGGAATCTCGCTGCTGAACATTGCCGAAATTATCTTCGATCGAATCATCCTCAACAGCTCCAGTGACAATCTCGAAAAGGGACTTCTTCCGGAAAGCCTGTTTGAATTTCGATGCCACTGTAAAAACACTGACATGACCTTCGCCATCAACCTGTTGCAAAAGGAACGACAGGGAATACGGACGCACCCTTACACTACGTGCATGGACCTGATGAAAGCCTTCGACGCGGTGGATCACGATGAACTCCGAACCGTTCTCGCACACGGTGCGTCAGCCCCACGACGGGATGTTAGCGCGCCTCACGGACGATGAGACCGTCTCAGAAGCGTTTGCATTAACTCCCGAGGTGAAGCAGGGCTGAACACTCTCAGTCACCCTCTTCGGTCTCCGGTTTTCCGCCATGCTGACGAACCGTGATGTGCGCTCCCGGATCCGCTTCGCATATAGGACAATGGCTGTCTTCTTCATAGCTGACGCATGCATGCTCCAACGCGTCTCGTCACGACTACTGTCAACGACCTTCTCTTCTAGGACAATTGCAAACTAAAAACCGCGACACAATCAGGCATGCAGCGGAGGATGGACCTCTTGGCGCCGGCTGCGTCAACTTCGGGGCTAACCATCACCACGAAGATAACAGCGGTTATGCATGCACCGCTGCGTACAGTGCTCCTCGCATCTGCGCCAACGCCACCCAACCGGAAGCCGCAGACAACTTTGCTTAATTTGGCATCAAACTCTCGTGTAGCATCAAAATCGACGACAAAGTTTCATATCGGATCTCGAAAGTGTTCGGCCGGCTGCTGAACTCCGCATAGAACGACCAAGGCCTCCACCTCAACGCCAAACTTAAGTCGTACAGAACTGCCATCTTGACGACGCTGCTGTATGGTGCGAAGTCCTGCACAGTCCACGAGAAACAAGCGCGTGAACTCCACCACTCCCATCTCAGCTTTAGTCTCCGTCGGAGACTAAAGCTGAGGTGGCAGGTGGGGATACCAGACGCGGTATTCTTGGAACGCACTGAGATCCTCAGCATCTATGTCATGATGAGGCGATCGCAACTAAAATGGATCGGCCACCTCGTGAGAATGGACGCTGGGCGACTATAAAACGACACGTCTATGAAGATGTCTCCATGGGTGCTTGCCGACAGGACCGAGTCCGCTTCCATAAGGGCATCCTGAAGAGCTAACAAATCGACCCGAAGATCTGGAAAGACCCCGCATAGGGCCGAGCGGCATGTAAGGAGAGCAGTGGAGACTGAAGCAGCAATTCACGAAGGCAACCAGCTCACCGCTGCCAAAGCCAAGGGAAGCTTCAGAGTGTCAGGCGTCCCTGCCCCGCAACTCCAACACATCTCCCAGAATGCCATGCTGTCCGCGAACATTCGCATGCGGATCGGCCTCGTTGGACATCTCCGGACCCAGTGTACCGACAGCATGGCAACTCCAATTGCTGCCTTCCCAACCGTCCGTGCTCTAACCCCCCATACGTCCACCACAATGACCGCCCTCACCGCCCATACCCTATATACTCCGCATAGACCAAGGTGCCCCCCCACTAGGAGCTCCACAACGGCAACTGACCCATCATCCATCAATCTACCCTCAACACACTGTCACCACACATCCACCTTACGCATCGGCCTGGTCGGTCACTTGCGAATCCATCGCAAAAACTGGCGAACCAGTGACTGGAGTCCCAACATACACTAGTCACCCAGGCCTCAACCGTCCTAACACTCAGCCATCGTATGGGTGGATTCGGTTGCATGCGCTTCCATGAAAGCCCGAGGTAAATCATCGCAAACATGACCACGTGACCGCACACTCCCCACCAACAAAGTATCATAAATGAACACTTCCAACGTCCCACACCACCACCTCTCATGTAGGTGGATAGCATGCTCGTCGGTTCCCTTACTCACGCAGCTCTTCCGCTACATGGAGATCCGAGCGGTCTACCCGTTTGCGCGAAATTCTGACATATAAGTGCGGCACGCGCAGACGAGCCATTCCTAGCTATGTCGGCCATCTGTCCCAGTCTCATCACTAGTTGGTCGACGGGCTCGGATAGTCGACTGGTGCATGGTATAGGGTACAGTCATCCTGGTCGACGGTCTTCCACATGATTCCTCATTATAACCAACCTGACGTGCTTGAGACTATCATGGTGTGTTAAAAGTCGTGACCTGAAAGGTCGCTATATGACGCTCCAAATCAAACCACGCAGTCAGCCTGCAGCGTGTTTGCGTGTTGACGTGAATGGCGGGCTGAGAGGGAGACTGTGATGGCTTCTGTTTAACGATAGTCTATCACACACGTGAGATCTGTGTTGCCCCCCCTCCCTTGTGTGCGTGCTTGGGGGGCGGTCGTGCGTGGGGGACGTGCAGACCGGCTCCGTAGCTCAATCAGATACTGCATTCTCTTCCCGCATCATGCATCTGACCGGCGCGGACTGTGGACCAGCGCGTGAAATTGGGATGAATGAGTGAAGTCGACGGTCTCAGCGCATATTCCTAACGTTAAACGGTATGACGCGCTTACTTATCACGGTGCGCTAAAAGCCGTGACTTAGAAAGCTGGCAACTGACGGGATAACTCGGGCCTATCAGGCAGCCCACTGTGTTTTTGTGTGGAGTGACAAACTGATGGACTGAGAGTCAGGCTGCAACGGCTCCTTCTTAATGTGACTTCTATGGCACATCCACCCAGTGGTATCCTAGCCGCTCCCCTCACCTTTTTTTCCTGGTCAGTGCCCACTACGGATCAAGGGATGTGGCGGTACACCTAGGTGCTGGTTTTCGACGTGCCACTCACCTGCGCCCCATCTCGTCTCCAGTCTTTCTGAATCTGCCTTGACAGCGGTATATGGAGGTCAAGTCTGTTATCACTAAAGACACATTCATGAGCAAATCACCGTCCCTGATCTCACCATAGCGTGAGCGCACGGTGGACATCGTCACGATAGTTAAACTGTCGGCTAGTGCTCGTGCTTAGAAGCGTGGAAAATTATAATCACCTGTACGATGCTGAACGTCCGTTGACAGAATGTGAATATTACGTAGTTTTAAAGAAGATGAACACACCATCTCTGGGACAGAAGGCGTATTAGTCTGAGCTTTCGGTCTCGTACAGGAGGCCAGCGTCAGAGACTAAGAATTCGACATCAAATGAGCAGCCTTTGCAGTCAAGCCATGAGGGGGAGGATATGAGTGCAGATGGTGGTATTCGCGATAAACCGAGTCCCACGCCGTCTCACGGCGGCGTGACAGCGTGCACACTTGGCTGAAAATTTGGTCTCGCCTATT